CCATTAAGAACAAAAAGGAACAATTCCATGACTGGAACAGTAGACTAATAACCCACACATAGAAGAAAGAATCTAATGACTACGCTTCAGTCAGACTAATAACTAGACACTGTCACTAAGTAATGCTTCGTCATTAGATTCTTTCTCATGTGCGCAGGTTATTTATATACTATTGACATTGTTCTTAAGCCAGGCACGCAAAAAAAAAAAAGAATATTCCCACTGATGTTTATTAGGTACAAGGGGGAAGTGAGAGAGGGTTTTTCATTAATTTATAACTGTGTAAGAAGGTATAAGAGATATACAAATTATATCGAAGAAATGGAGGTTATTCCTTCACCGCTCACAAATAAATGTATTGGCTAGGAATCCCGTAACTTTGTGGAAGCTGTTACAACCAGACACTAACACCTCTTCTTAAAGTTTTTATCGGAGCGAGACTAACACCTCCCCCTTCGTCTACATAATGAAAGAAATACCATCACATACAACCAGACTAATACCTTCTTCCATATAACACAAGTAGCACCCCTACCTATATAACATGTTTTTGTTTTTAATTATTAAATTATTATTATTATTATTATTATTATTATTATTATTATTATTATTATTATTATTATTATTATTATTATTATTATTACTATTATTATTAATATTATTATTAATCTTATTATTTCTTGTTTTCAGATGTCAATAAACACCTCGGCGTTATCATAATTTTGAGTATATTGGGCATCTTGTTCCTGGGATGGGGAGCCATTAGCATCATCTTGCGCTGCAAAAAACCCAAACCTACTGGAGACAGTCCTACCATCGCTTTTACTAATTTCGGTTCCACTGATTCCCCATCGACCCTCAGCTCATAGATTCATTTACACTGGTTAACATTCATCTTCTGATCAATGATATTACACCGATTTTGGGGAGAGTTTCTGGCGCTGAATCCGAATATATCATCGTTTTGCTTGACTGGCTCTAATTTTTGTGAAATTTGGTATCCCATTGGAAAACACAAAAAAATGTGCATCAGGCGGGGCTAGCTTAAAATCAAAATTAAATTATTTTTAGATCAAGCAAACAAGAGGTTTACCATCTTCAGATGAACACAAATAGACATCTTGTGCCCATGATAGCTAAGTTTCTTTATGATCATTTTGATATTTTCGTATTTAAATTTTGTCGAGGGAGTAATTGTAAGAGATGCATATTGGCTACCATTGTACAATATGACACATTTCAAGCTTCTAATAGAATTGTCTATAAACAGCCGTCGATCTCCTGGTCGATATTCAAGTCAAATTCGAAGAAGTCCAGGGATGTTATTGCAGTATACAAGTTCTTTATCTTGGCTGAAGTAAGGAAGGAGTTCGACCTCTCTTGTCCGATAAGCTGCTATTTTAACTTCTTGTTGCAGACAGTTCATTTTTTTTCAGATGATTGCTTTGACAGACTGAGGTCACGTATCATAATACTAAGTTCTTCTTGGGAGAACTGCTATCACTTGTGTTACATCCTAAACCCTGAGTTTCTTCAACATCTGACAAGGGAAGGTCAGGTAGTGTTATAAACACTGGTATGGGAACATCTTCACTGTGTGGCACAGGTCTTCTTGCTGACTCCAAATCAGGATATTACTTGACTTTCTTGTATCGAATGAAACATTTCACATTCACAATACAGAAATAACAATCGCCGTAGTGGTTTTCCGGGTCTCTACACCATAGACACACCGAAGCTTAATCTTTTCCTGTGCCTATTTTTCCACTTTCGTAAGCATTCTACACAGGTTTTGCAAACCAAATGGGAAACCCAAGACTTGTCTTGTTCTCCAAGCGCCACTCTAAAATAAGCAAGACAAGTTTGTTTTATAAGATCTCTGATGTTTTTTCTGTGATGATTGTTCTTTGTGAAGAACTCATGTTTTTTTTTGGAAAAATGGCAAAATAAAAGTTACAGTATTGTCGCGTAGTCTTTGTTGACAAAACTTCTTTCCTTAAATATTGAAACATTTAAAAATAAAATCCAAATTTTTATTAAAACTATCTGTATATATAAATTGTCACTACATATACATACACACGTTATGGCTAAGTTCCCTGTTGTGTGGTAGGTAGGTTTGGGGTGCCAAGTGTAAATGATAATGGGGCCTTTGATTGAACTTTGTATAGAAAGGGGAATGGTAATTGGTAATACATATTTTAAGAAAAAAAAGAATAAATAAGTTTGTTGGTCTATGTATTGGTAGATAAGACTGACAGGTAGATTTTAGGATGTACATGTTTATAGAGGGGCCACAGATACATCAGATCATATTTTAGTCGTAGCTACAGTGAGAGTAAAAGGTAGATGGGATACAAGGAGAATGGAATCAGGAAGTAAGAGAGAGGCGAAGGTTTATAAATTAAAGGAGAAAACAGTAAAAATTAATAGGGGACTAAGGAGAAGTTGTCGAGGACAGGGTAAAGATAAGATGAGGTAAAGATAAGGGAGTGGGAGGAGGAGAATGAGTGTTACTAGATACCGGCTGATTACGGTACGTCACTTGAGATTCCTCTCTGATATATTATTTAATTGACTTTACTCCATCAGCTGATACATAAAATAATTAAGGAAGGAGTAGAAAGGATATAAAGAAGAAGTAGGAGAGAAGGAAAGCTCAAAATCTGTTCAATAAAGTGTGATGTGTCTTCACTATTACTGACAGTACGACATTTGCATCTTAAGTTTCAAATGTTCGTTAAGATCGAGTTGAAAACTCTCCTTCACACAAGAACGCTAAATCTTTCAGCATATCAAAGGACATCGTATCTAGCCAGAGAATTCGAAACAATGAATACATCTCTACCCAGCATGTCTGAGTCTATGACCAACCTCACAATTGTTGACTTAAGAAATCGTAATGACACGATTGCAAATAAACCATACCCCCGGCTGGGATTGAACCCGCGGTCATAGAGTCTCAAAACTCCAGCCCGTCGCGCTAACCACTAGACCAGCTAGCCACAATAAGATTCATCCAACTAGGTATATTTCTACACCATAGGAAGGTTAGCACAGGCACCTCTGTGACCACAAATGCAAGTTTTTACAGACGAATCTCCAGCTAGCGTGGCCGTGACGAACTCTAGCTCAAGTCCCTTCACTGCCGTCAACATGACTTAAGAAATCGTAATGACACGATTGCAAATAAACCATACCCCCGGCTGGATTAAACCGCGGTCATAGAGCTCAAAACTCCAGCCCGTCGCGTAACCCACTAGAAGCTAGCACAAAAGGGATTCATCCAACTAGGTATTTTTACACCATTGGAAGGTTAGCACAGACTCTGTGACCCACAAATGCAAGTTTTTACGACGAATCTCCAGCTAGCGGGGCGTGACGAACTCTAGCTCAAGCCCCTTTCACTGCCGTCAACATGTTTAGAAATCGAAAATGCCCACGATGCAAATAATCCATACCCCGGCTGGGATTGAACCGCGGTCTAGAGTCTCAAAACTCCAGCCCGTCGCGCTAACCACTAGACCAGGCTACCCAACAATAAGATTCACCCAACTGGGTATATTTCTAACACCATAGGAAGGTTAGCACAGGCACCTGTGACCACAAATGCAAGTTTTTACAGACGAATCTCAGCTAGCGTGGCCGTGACGAACTCTAGTCAAGTCCCTTCACTGCCGAAAACTGTTAAAAAAATGTAATGACACGATTGCAAATAAACCTTACCCCGTATTGTGGCTAGCTGGTCTAGTGGTTAGCGCGACGGGCTGGAGTTTTGAGACTCTATGACCGCGGGTTTCAACCCCAGCCGGGGGTAGGGGTTTATTTGCAATCGTGTCATTACGATTTCTTAAGTCATGTTGACGGCAGTGAAGGGACTTGAGCTAGAGTTCGTCACGGCCACGCTAGCTGGAGATTCGTCTGTAAAAACTTGCATTTGTGGTCACAGAGGTGCCTGTGCTAACCTTCCTATGGTGTAGAAATATACCTAGTTGGATGAATCTTATTGTGGCTAGCTGGTCTAGTGGTTAGCGCGACGGGCTGGAGTTTTGAGACTCTATGACCGCGGGTTCAATCCCAGCCGGGGGTATGGTTTGGTCTCACAATTGTTGGTTTCACTATGTGTCGCTGGAGGTAAGGCTATGTATCACTGGAGGTAAGGTTATGTGTCACTGGAGGTAAGGCTATGTATCACTGGAGGTAAGGCTATGTATCACTGGAGGTAAGGTTATGTGTCACTGGAAGTAAGGTGACCCACACGTTGCATAAATAATTAGCTGAGTGCCTATATCCTGTTTTTTTCCGACCATTCACGACTCACATGCTGAGAATAGCCAAAATTCCGTCCAACAACTGACCAGTTTAAACTTACCCACCGGGGAAAATTTTTAGTACTGATGTCAACTCACCGTTATAAAAGTTCCAACTTAAGAAATTATGAACTTTAAACTTACTGAAAGTAATTTAATCAAACTAAATCCAACGGTGCACAAAAAAAAAAAATTGCTGAATTAGTACCACTGAGTCGGACAGAACTTTTTTCAGAAAAGGATTTTTTTTTTTTGCAATATTATGGCTATGGCTGATCCCCTCAGCCCAATCTTCGTCATTTTTTCTGGAATATTTTGAATTAGAACTATACACGTGCAGATGACCCTTCCTGGTCAAATAATATTGATAAACCTGTATGGCAAGTATTTAGGTTGCCAAAAGACAAAAACTTCAGTGACTTTGATAAATTTACTAATACATCAAATCCAAACATGAATTTGAAGCTTACGAAGTTTCTCTTCTTTGATGTTAAAACTTCTCTAACTATAAGACCTCTCATATTAAAATTTCCAATATGCCAATAGAATTTCGCAAAAAATTATTATTTCTATTATTATTATTATTATTATTATTATTATTATTATTATTATTATTATTATTATTATTATTATTATTATTATTATTATTGTTGTTGTTTTATTATTATTATTTTATTATACATCTACCATCACTAAACTACACATCAGAAACAATGACATGAAATAAGTATATTTTCTCTTAGTTTTAAAAAAAGTAAACATTTCTCCTGTTTTACAGTAATAATAAAAAAAAAACGTCCTTGGTATCCTTGTTAAGAGAACTTATCGTGTGTATCTTCTAAAGTTAAGTAAACCACGAGTGTATCTAATCTGAGAGAGTTCCATCACTCTCAGTGGTTCATATTAAAGGTTCACTTTACTCCTGGATCCTTTATTTATGCAATCCAGGCTCCAAATATTTAATAAAATCCCTTTACTACACTACACTGAAAAAAAAGAGATAATATTAAGATTGAAGAGGTTAAGGCAGCAAGCAGACATAACAACCATCAACACTTTATCTCCAGAATCAGCCATGCTTACTTTTTTTTATCCGCAGATGTCTAGATAAAGCACAGGGGGTAAAACATAGCTTAGTGTTAGCATGCCAGGGTAAAACTGAAAGACCCGGGTTTGATCCTGGGACGTGTGGAGGCGCTCTTGACAGTAATAATTATCAGTTTAAATTTATTTTATGTTCCTTAAAATCAATGATATATATTTTTATTTCGTTATGTTCAGATTGATTTTTAGAGATTATTTGCATAAACAAAATTTTAAATTTTACTTTGCTTATTCGTCAGAAATAACCTTTGCTTAATATTTATAAATTATTGCATTAATACCACGAAACAAGTGGTATTGATGCAGTTAACAAATTGCGGCATGGGCGGGGATCGAACCCGTCCTACCTTGGCCCGCCTCGTGGGAAACAGGTTTCTTTGTAGGATTGTACGGCCCAGTGGTTAGAGCTCTGTGAATTTTGACTTGCTTCCCACGAGGTGGGCCAAGGTAGCGCGGGTTCGATTCCGATTGCCGTAGCTTGTTATATATTTATATATATATATATATATATATATAATATATATATATATATATATATATATATATATATATATATATATATATAAATATATATACATATATATATATGTCGTGCCGAATAGGTAAAACTTACGATTTTGGCTTAAACAGAAACGCACTTCTTGCCAGATAAGGCAAGCGAAAATTTGTGTATGCAATAATTTTGCGAAAATCATTCTGAACCTAACGAAAAAATATATTTCATTGTATTTATTAAATTGTAAACTTATCTAAAATTTATTTAGTTGGATTAGGCTAAATTAAATTGCGTTTGTTATAAAAAGATTAGGTAAGTTTTCTAACTTTTTTTATACAAAATTAATAATTTCTACATTAACAGAAATGAAAAAAAATATGTTTCAAAATACAAGAGAAAACTTTAGAAAGGACTTAATTTTAAGTGAGTTCTTGTTAATTGACAAGTTTCACCTATTCGGCACAATATATATTATATATTATATATATATATTTATATATATATATATATATATATATATATATATATATATATATATATTTATATATATATACACACACAAACTCACGCATATAGTCCACCTCTTATGCAAAATATGGAATCCCTCAGCCTCGGAGAATTAGGTGAAGTGTGTTTTACTAAGAGTGTCAAGGACCGCTCCTAGAAGACACGTGGGTTACCTGGAGGTTACCTGGACACTAGTTCTCTACCACAAGTGAATATATTGTAGTGTCACTAAATTATTAAATGGTATATATTGTGAGTAAGAAGTGAAGGCTTCCAACTCTCAATATACCATATGTGAATATACCATCTATTATTATTAAGTTCCATTAATAACTTAACTTTCTCACACGTGTGTGAACTCACATGGTAGCAGGAGTGTGATCTCACATGGTGACAGCGGTGTGATCTCACATGGTAGCAGGAGTGTGATCTCACATGGTAGCAGCAGTGTGATCTCACATGGTAGCAGCAGTGTGATCTCACATGGTAGCAGGAGTGTGATCTCACATGGTGACAGCGGTGTGATCTCACATGGTAGCAGGAGTGTGATCTCACATGGTAGCAGCAGTGTGATCTCACATGGTGGCAGCGGTGTGATCTCACATGGTGGCAGCGGTGTGATCTCACATGGTAGCAGGAGTGTGATCTCACATGGTGACAGCGGTGTGATCTCACATGGTAGCAGGAGTGTGATCTCACATGGTAGCAGCAGTGTGATCTCACATGGTGGCAGCGGTGTGATCTCACATGGTGGCAGTGGTGTGATCTCACATGGTAGCAGGAGTGTGATCTCACTGGTGACAGCGGTGTGATCTCACATGGTAGCAGGGTGTGATCTCACATGGTGACAGCGGTGTGATCTCACATGGTAGCAGGAGTGTGATCTCACATGGTAGCAGCAGTGTGATCTCACATGGTGGCAGCGGTGTGATCTCACATGGTGGCAGCGGTGTGATCTCACATGGTAGCAGGAGTGTGATCTCACATGGTGACAGCGGTGTGATCTCACATGGTAGCAGGAGTGTGATCTCACATGGTGACAGCGGTGTGATCTCACATGGTAGCAGGAGTGTGATCTCACATGGTAGCAGCAGTGTGATCTCACATGGTGGCAGCGGTGTGATCTCACATGGTGGCAGCGGTGTGATCTCACATGGTAGCAGGAGTGTGATCTCACATGGTGACAGCGGTGTGATCTCACATGGTAGCAGGAGTGTGATCTCACATGGTGACAGCGGTGTGATCTCACATGGTAGCAGGAGTGTGATCTCACATGGTAGCAGCAGTGTGATCTCACATGGTGGCAGCGGTGTGATCTCACATGGTGGCAGCGGTGTGATCTCACATGGTAGCAGGAGTGTGATCTCACATGGTAGCAGCAGTGTGATCTCACATGGTGACAGCGGTGTGATCTCACATGGTAGCAGGAGTGTGATCTCACATGGTAGCAGCAGTGTGATCTCACATGGTGGCAGCGGTGTGATCTCACATGGTGACAGCGGTGTGATCTCACATGGTAGCAGCAGTGTGATCTCACATGGTAGCAGCAGTGTGATCTCACATGGTGACAGCGGTGTGATCTCACATGGTAGCAGGAGTGTGATCTCACATGGTGACAGCAGTGTGATCTCACATGGTAGCAGGAGTGTGATCTCACATGGTGGCAGAAGTGTGATCTCACATGGTAGCAGCAGTGTGATCTCACATGGTAGCAGCGGTGTGATCTCACATGGTAGCAGTGTGGTAGTGGGGGGGGGATCTCACACGGTGTGTAAAGTCAGGGTGTGATCTCACATGGTGGCAGCGGTGTGATCTCACATGGTAGCAGGAGTGTGATCTCACATGGTGGCAGCGGTGTGATCTCACATGGTAGCAGCAGTGTGATATCACATGGTGGCAGTGATGTGATCTCACATGGTAGCAGCAGTGTGATCTCACATGGTGGCAGCGGTGTGATCTCACATGGTAGCAGCAGTGTGATCTCACATGGTGGCAGTGATGTGATCTCACATGGTAGCAGGAGTGTGATCTCACATGGTGGCAGCGGTGTGATCTCACATGGTAGCAGCAGTGTGATCTCACATGGTGGCAGCGGTGTGATCTCACATGGTAGCAGCAGTGTGATCTCACATGGTGGCAGCGGTGTGATCTCACATGGTAGCAGCAGTGTGATCTCACACGGTGGCAGCTGTGTGATCTCACATGGTGACAGCGGTGTGATCTCACATGGTAGCAGGAGTGTGATCTCACATGGTGACAGCGGTGTGATCTCACATGGTAGCAGCAGTGTGATCTCACATGGTGGCAGCGGTGTGATCTCACATGGTGGCAGCAGTGTGATCTCACATGGTGACAGCGGTGTGATCTCACATGGTAGCAGGAGTGTGATCTCACATGGTAGCAGCGGTGTGATCTCACATGGTAGCAGCAGTGTAAACTCACATGGTGGCAGTGATGTGAACTCACATGGTGGCAGCGGTGTGATCTCACATGGTGGCAGCAGTGTGATCTCACATGGTGGCAGCGGTGTGATCTCACATGGTGGCACCGGTGTGATCTCACATGGTGGCAGTGGTGTAAACTCACATGGTGGCAGCGGTGTGATCTCACATGGTGTCAGAGGTGTGATCTCACATGGTGTCAGCTGTGTGATCTCACATGGTGGCAGCGGTGTGATCTCACATGGTGGCAGCGGTGTGATCTCACATGGTGGCAGTGGTGTGATCTCACATGGTGTCAGCGGTGTAAACTCACATGGTGGCAGAAGTGTGATCTCACATGGTGGCAGCGATGTGATCTCACATGGTGGGATCTGTGTGAACTCACATGGTAGCAGCGATGTGATCTCACATGGTGTCAGCGATGTGATCTCACATGGTAGCAGTGATGTGAACTCACATGGTGGCAGCAGTGTTATCTCACATGGTGGCAGCGATGTGATCTCACATGGTGGCAGCAGTGTGATCTCACATGGTGGCAGCGGTGTGATCTCACATGGTGGCAGTGGTGTAAACTCACATGGTGGCAGAAGTGTGATCTCACATGGTGGCAGCGATGTGATCTCACATGGTGGGATCTGTGTGAACTCACGTGGTAGCAGCAATGTGATCTCACATGGTGTCAGCGATGTGATCTCACATGGTAGCAGTGATGTGAACTCACATGGTGGCAGTGGTGTGATCTCACATGGTGGCAGCGGTGTGAACTCACATGGTGTCAGCGGTGTGAACTCACATGGTGGCAGCGGCGTGAAGTCACATGGTGGCAGCGGCGTGAAGTCACATGGTGTCAGCAGTGTGATCACACATAGTGGCAGTGGTGTGATGTGATTGTCTTACGACTCCAGCAGGTGTGGGAGACAAAATTTACCATCTCCAAACCCTTGTTGGTTATTGCTTTTGAAATCACTTCTCTCGAGATGTCCTGTTGTTCTGGTGATTATCTTATCCAATAGCTTACATAGTATGCATGTCAGTGATACTTGTCTGTAGTTAACCAGTTTCTATCTCCTTTCCAATCTTATTTCCTGGGCGAAACGTGTACGACAGGTGCGGTGAATGCTGGTCAAATGTCACCAAATCCTCACTAGACCCCGTAGCATAATAAGTAGCAATCCTACGATTTTATACTTCAACCACTGACGTGGTTGAAGATAGCATTCAGTTTCAGTGCATCATGCAGGCTGACCAAATTCTCATTGTAAGGTACAACCAATACATTTTTCCTGGAAGGAATTTCCTGTAGAAAGTCTTCCAAGCCGACAATAGGAATTTCTCAACAAAATCCCTTAGATATATCAGTTTTGTGACTACGTTAAATATATTATTAATTTCATCTTTTAAATACTCCGTACTACAGATGCGCAAAGCTCTCAAGAACACTGTAAGTAAAGCTTTCCTTTTAATCCTAGACTCATGATTTCAATAATAGTGAATAAATGACAACAAATTGGTTGACTCTCTGTAAACTGTAAATTTAAATCTTATGTCAACACAATGAACGAGAAAGTTCAATTCAAAATAAAAAAACTTTTCTAATATCTCCTGTATGTATAAATCAAAATTTACAAAGCTTGAAATACGTCTTAATCTTATTTAAAGGCCGTGTCCTTCATACTGCGAGGCCCTACGCTGCTGATTGCTGCACTTTGGCCTATATTCAACACTGAGTCAGGAAGAGTTGCAGGGACGAAACTTTTTTTTAAGCACGATATATTTTATCTTATCAGAGATATATAGAGACAGAAACGGAGGCTGTGATAACAGTGGTGCCTGACTGTGTCAGTCAGTGTATAGTTTGCCCGGGTAGAGTCATCATGGGTACCACCCGACTGCTTCTACTTCTCCTGGTATGTACAACATCTCAGAACTGGAAAGATGTTCATTGCTTTGCCAGTTTAACAGTCCACTATGTATTGGTTTAATTTCCTAGGCCACACTTTTGCATTTGATTTCATGAGATGGAAAATCCTCGTGGTAGAGAATCGATCCTTTGACAACTAATCGAATCGATTCCTCTGATCCCTCACAACACAGCCCTCAATCACTAATAAGAGGTTAAAAGTAAAGCAAAAATCAAGCTACAACAATTAGTACAATCATAAGACAGCTGTAAAACCTCACGAGACACAGTGGAACAGATGGTTATCAGGGGTTGTTTCACGGAAGGGAAGAGGAGCACCAAAAACTTTATCACTATTCCTTGTTTTACTAGCAACATAAAACACCCCCTTTAAATCTAACTCACTAATAGTTTCTCTGAACACAAGATTTCACACATTATCATCTCCTACTCCACTCTGCTGGGACTACAAACACGCGTAGACTCTCCAACATATACTGAAATATTACACAATCTAATATCTGATAATTAGAAAAATTTAACGAAGATATTTTTCTGTTTATCAGATATCAATGCCGACTTCTTTTTCAACTTCTCTCTATCAGTTGTTTCACAAAGCCTTGAGTTTAGTACCGATGATGTCACTGAATTTTCATCCTTGGTACGTCATAAAGAGATATATTAAGTGATGTATTAAAGTGTTTCTTCAACTTTCTTTTTCTGATTAAGATGTTTCTCTTACTGCTGCTGCTGCTGCATCAAAGACAAATTTATTTATAAGGATAGTAAATTAAAATGATAATGGCAATAAATAAAAAAATAATACATGATAAATAGAAATTAATTTCAATAACATAATACTAGTAATTTAAATATAATAAAAATAATTATAATAAAAAATTAATAATAATAATAATAATAATAATAATAATAATAATAATAATAATAATAATAATAATAATAATAATAATAATAATAATAATAATTTTAATAATTACATTGAAATTAAAACTAGTACTATTATTTAATAAAACTATAATTATTAACTTTTTTCTTATCAGCAACACAATTATTACAACTCTTATAAATAATTCATATATTTATAATTTGAATTTTCTTCACAATTATCAGGTATGGTGGAGCGGAAACAGAGGCCATTGTAAGTACCTTATTATTTGTGAATGTAAACTGGCATTAAATAGTCTGGTAAACTTGGAATGTTTAACGAATATTAGATGCATCAAATATTTTAATAGAATGGGAATAATCTGTTAGACTAATTTAGCACTAAATATAACACATTTAATAAGCTGTAAATTGGGCTCGTGTACCTGAGTCCCTTAATAATTGCATAGTAAGAAGATTATGTTTTAATTTTTAGTTGTTAGTGTGAATTTATCCTTATACTATCATTAATTTCATGAAAGTAAACGATAAGATGTGGACAAAGACACTTATGCACAATTCAGTACATTTCGCCCCTCGAGGTAAAACGTTTCCTTTAATAAATGTCCAGGACTGAACGTAAGTGGTCTGACCCCTCAAAAAAAAAAAAATCCTATATTTTTGCATGGCTTGCATTGTTTAATGTGTCGTGTCTTCTAGGCCAGACGGTGGATATCACACGAGTATCATCGTACTACTTCGAGTTGTCCTGGCACCGTAGCAACGACTGGTTTGGCGTTACTGATTACGAAGTTGTTATTGCACCTCAAGACCCTTCCCAGATAAACTGTAATGTGGTAAGAGTGTGATTACCGTTTTGTGGCAGCTTAGTAGTACCCAGAGCAGCACAGCTGTCTTGGTGGAGTCCTATTTTTATTGTCTGTAGTTACAACAAAGGAGTTATGCTGTTTTTGTCCCGTCTTCATATTCTACATCACCACTAATTTCTTACATTTCAAATATGGCGTCTTGTTTTCTGTGTTCATGATACAAACAAATTATATTCGTCCTTTTGTTACATTGTCTTTTATGTGGTTATTCTCTTATAACTTCTAGGAGGTAACGAGGATATTTTTGGCATTATTACTTCTTCGATATATATATATATATATATATATATATATATATATATATATATATATATATATATATATATATATATATATATATATATATGTATATATAATTATTGTAACCACGAATAAGTGGAATTAATCAATAACAACATTGCGACTGGCCAAGGACTCGAACCTGTGATGTTTTGGCCCGCCTCATAGTGACCGAAAACCACATGACCCACTAACCCATAGGACCACAAAATCCTGCAAGAATCACGCATCCAGCAGAGCTAGGTGTTTTAAGAACATAACATTAGAAAGAAGGAACACTGCAGCAGGCCTACTGGCCCTTGAGAGACAGGTCCAATTCTCCCACCCGCTTAAGCTGACCTAGTCAAGTCAGTGACATTCACTTAATTAAGGGAGGAGCACGGCATCAGATCAGGTAGCACAAGCTAATCAGGTCTAACTCACACCCACCCACACCCACTCATGTATTTATCCAACCTATTTTTAAAATTGCACAACGTCTTAGCTTCTATGACGGTAATCTGAGTTTGTTCCACTCATCCACAACTCTATTACCAAACCAGTGCTTTCCTATATCCTTCCTGAATCTGAATTTTTCCAATTTAAAACCATTGCTGCGAGTCCTGTCTATGCTAGATATTTTTAGCACGCTATTTACATCCCCTTTATTAATTCCCGTTTTCCATTTATTCACCTCAATCATTCGCCCCCTAATTCTACGCCTTTCTAGAGAGTGCAGATTCAGGGCCCTCCCCCTTGCCTCATAGGGAAGATTTCTGATACATGGGATCAACTTTGTTATCCTCCTTTGTACGTTTTCCAGAGCATTTATATCCATTCTGTAACACAGTGAATAAAACTGTGCAGCATAATCTAAATGAGACCTAACCAAAGATATATTGAGTTGAAGAACAACCTGAGGACTTCTATTATTTATATTTCTTGATATGAAGCCAAGGATTCTGTTAGCTTTATTGCGAACACTTATGCACTGTTGTCTTGGTTCAGATTACTGCTAACCAGAACTCCTAAATCATTTTCGCAATCCGTAACATTAAGATCTACATTATGTAGTTTATATGCGGCATATCTATTTTCCTGTCCAACATTTAGAACTTTGCATTTGTTTATATTAAACTGCATCTGCCAATTCTCCGACCACTGCACCAGTCTAAACAAATAAATTTTGGAGTGCTCTAGTGTCCTCATTAGAATGAAATGGACGGCCTATTTTGGTGTCATCAGCAAATTTGCTTATGTCGCTGTTTATTCCCTCATCCATGTCGTTTACGTAGATTGTACACAAAAACGAGCCCAACACTGTGGAACTCCGCTTGTGACGTGCCCCCATTCTGATTTCTCCCCATTTATACAAACTCTCTGCTGCCTATTTGTCAGCCATGCCTCTACCCAGGAAAAAATTTCTCCTCATATTCTGCGTGCCTTAAGTTTCCTTAATAGCCTCTGATGTGGAACTCTATCGAAAGCCTTACTGAAGTCCATATACACAATATCATATTCAATACCATGTTCTACCTCCTCAAACACCTTAATGAAGAAAGTCAGTAAATTCGTAAGACAGGAACGCCCCTTTGTAAAACCGTGCTGAGATTCGATAATCAATTTATGCCTTTCAAGATGGCTACGAACTGCTTCGGCAATTACTGATTAAATAAATTTACCAGCTATGGAGGTAAGGCTTATTGGTTTATAGTTCGAAGCTAAGGACATGTCACCTGCCTTATAAATAGGTATTACATTTGCCATTTTCCACTTGTCTGGCATTATGTCAGTTTGCGGTGATATATTGAAAAGATTAGCCAAAGGTATGCTAAGTTCATCTTTACATTCCTTTAACACCCTTGCAAACAGTTCATCAGGGCCTGGGGATTTGTTAGCTTTTAATTTCTCTATTTATCTGAGGACCATGTCACTAGTTACCCCAATCGTGCATAGTTTATTGTCGTCCTGTTCTACATAATTTATTATTTCTGAAATTTCGCTAGTATCTTCCTGAGTAAAAGCTGAGAGGCAGTAGGTATTGAAAAGTTCACACATTTCTTTATCACTGTCAGTGATTTGACCTGAGTTACTCTTAAGTGGGCCTATCTTGCCCCTAATATTGCTTCTGTATACCTGAAAGAAACCTTTTGGGTTAGTCTTCAAATCCCTTGCGACCTTGATCCGAGAACATAAAGTAGTGTGGGTGCCTCTGAGCTAATTTAATTCTACTCCCCATTTGGTGTACTGGCCTCAACAAACAGTATTTTATATTACTGTAACCACGAACAAGTGGTATTGATCAATAACAACACTGCGACTAGCCGAGGACTCGAACCCATGTCGTTTTGGCCCGCCTTATGGTGAGAGAAAAACCACATGACGCTCTAACCCACCGGACCACTAAATCCTCCAAGAATCATGCACCCAGCAGAGCTAGGTGTTTTACCGTGATTCAGGGACATACAGTGGTGTGGGTGCCTCTGAACTAATTTCATTCTACCATATGTCCTCGGATCACGGTAAAACACCTAGCTCTGCTGGGTGCGTGATTCTTGAAGGATTTAATGGTCCGGTGGGTTAGAGTGTCATGTGGTTTTCTCTCCCCATAAGGCGGGCCAAAACGACATGGGTTCGAGTCCTTGGCTAGTCGCAGTGTTGTTTATATATATATATATATATATATATATATATATATATGCATCATGCAGAAACAAGTGAGTATATACAAAGAAAGATCACAGTCAGCAGGATTCGAAACTACTACTGAGAACGGTCAAGATTCTCAGGCAGCGCTTTAGTCCACTCGGCCACACAAATGCCACATAGAGTGGGCAGCCTGGTTCACAAGCCATGTTTCTTTCCCAGCCCGGGCACGTCAGTGAGCCTCAAGCATGGATTCAAGCTATTTCAATCTCCTCCTGTAGGCTGCCCAGTCTATGTGGTATTTGTGTGGCTGAGTGGACTAGAGCACTGCCTGAGAATCTATTCTATTCTATTCTATTTGAATCGCCGGTATGGTATCCCGGCCTGGGTCTCTTCCATTTTGGTGACCCGGCATTGGCTCCCCGGGTAGGGAAGTGACATTTATCGTTACTTGCACCTGCGTGGCAGGTCTTCAGCAGGAAGGGGGGGTACCTCACCGGCCCTATGGCCAGATGACGTACCAAACGTTAGTGTGCACTAACAGTGGCTGGTGTGCAGTGCAATGGAGGCCCAAAGCAGGCCCTCGCAGCAACTTCAGCGGGGGGGGGGGCGGATGACGTGCAAGGACTGGAAGTAAGGTTTCCAAGTCCCGGACAGCTAAGTACACAAGATGTGCTGCCTCATCCTCTCGGGCCTGCCCTACTGGGGTCATTGGGAAGTGTCTACGGCGAAGGGGCATCGTAGCCGGGCATTCTAACAGGTAGTGCACCAAGGGCTGTGGAACCATTCGGTCACAATGGGCACAGAGCTCCTCTTGTGCCCGTTCAACAATCCACGCAGTGGTGGGATACCCTAAGCGTAGGCGGTGGATATGCACCCTCATTTCCCTGGACTGCGTCCGAATACTTGAAGGGGGCACCCTGTGGGTTGCCCTGACATACCAACAGAGGCTCCGTGAATCCCCAGGGTCAGGGAATGGGCGCCTGGCCGCACCAGCAGCCCACAGCGCAATCTGGCTGAGGCTGATGGAGATCGCAACACGTGGCTGTGCCTCGAGGGTTGCAGTCCTAGCAGCCTCATCTGCAGCATCATTGCCAGGGATACCCACATGGCTCAGGATCCAGTTGATGGTAGCCCTGCGACCCTGGGCCATGAGAGTCTGCAGGTCACCCCGGATGGATGTGATTAAGTGTATGTTGTCCTTTGGCTCTCTGTGCATAAGCGCTTGGATCGCTGCCTTGGAATCAACGTGGATGATGGGGGGATGCTGATGGTCTGCAAGAGCATGCTGCAGAGCTTGTTGGATGGCAAAGAGTTCGGCCTGGAGGATGGTGCAATGGTCTGGAAGGCGCCAACCTGCTGTCAGATTGCTGTGGAACATCCCAGCAGCTGTGCGGCCTGCCACTGGGTCTCTGGAGCCATCTGTGTAATATGGCACACACCCTGGGCCTTCCGCACCCACAATGCTAGCCGAGGCAAGGTGATGCAGAATGTCCTGGGTGCAATGCCTCTTGCTGTCTGGTAGGGTTGTCCAGTGCACCGCAAACAGCTCTGGTGCCCAAGGGGGTGGCACCATGTAGTTCGCTGCCAGTCCGTCGCAGCCTCCCGCCTGGAGCAATGTCATGGGCAAGAGCTTCTGTGTGGCATCTGCTACCGACCACATCCATCGGCGGCCGGGATGCAGCGGAATGACCTGTCCCTGGCGGACCTGTAAATCTCTCATCAGTTTGTCAGCCCCTGGGAGTCGGAGATACTTTGCAATCCTCCTGGCAGCTACCAGTTGGATCCTGTCTTCAAGAGGCTGTAGCTGCACCTCAAGGCTCAGAGCCACTGCATTGGCCCACCTAGGAGCCCCCAGCATGGCCCGTACAGCTGTGTTCTGGATGACACAGAGGGGTTTGATGTTTGTGGGTCTAGCGTGAACCAGAGCAAGTGCCCCATAGTCAACGAGGGGACGTATTGCCTGGATGTAGAACAACCTCATGACCTCGAGGCTGGCCCCAACCCTAGGGTTGGCCATGGCACTCAATGCCCTGACCCTCTGCAGAGCCCTCTCTTTAATG